CTCCTGGGTTCAGGCAATTCTCCTGCCTTAGCCTCCTGAGTAGCTGGGATTACAGGCACACGCCACCATGCCCAGCTGATTTTTTGTATTTTTAGTAGAGACGGGGTTTCACCATGTCGACCAGGATGGTCTCGAACTCTCGACCTCGTGATCCACCCGCCTCGGCCTCCCAAAGCGCTGGGATTACAGGCTTGAGCCACCGCACCCGGCGCCCAGCTAATTTTTATATTTTTAGTAGAGGCAGGGTTTCACCATGTTGCCAGGCTGGTCTCGAACTCCTGACCTCAGGTGATCCACCCACCTCTGCCTCCCAAAGTGCTGGGATTACAGGTGTGAGCCACCACGCCTGACCAATTTCCACTTGTATGCAAGTTTCCATTCTTGTGTGCAAGCTGTCTGGATCTTGTAGCCTGAACCTGTCTAATGTGGCAAGATATTTAATCAGTATCCTGCTTTACTGCTAGAAGAGTTTCAGAAAGTTTACATATAAGAATAAATGAAAGTCGGGCCGGGCGCGGTGGCTCAAGCCTGTAATCCCAGCATTTTGGGAGGCCGAGGCGGGTGGATCACGAGGTCAAGAGATCGAGACCATCCTGGCCAACGTGGTGAAACCCCGTCTCTACTAAAAATACAAAAAATTAGCTGGGCATGGTGGCACGTGCCTGTAATCCCAGCTACTCAGGAGGCTGAGGCAGGAGAATTGCCTGAACCCAGGAGGCGGAGGTTGCGGTGAGCCGAGATCGCGCCATTGCATTCCAGCTTGGGTAACAAGAGCAGAACTCTGTCTCAAAAAAAAATAAATAAAATAAATGAAAGTCAACAAAAATAGGTAAAAGAAATTTCAGCAAAGAAAAAAGGATAGCAAAAGAAAACTAATACACAGAATATATGCTGTAAAGTATTCATTACTAAAATTCAGCCATATTCTGGCTTTGAATATATTGGCAGCCAAAAAAGTTAACCAGTTGAGATTCATAGTTCAAGTTTACCAGATGCTTAGAAGCCGCAAAGCTTTGCCTAGCATTCTGTCAAGAGGTTTTGGCTGTCTGTGTGAGTAATCTTACCTGAATGTTTTCCCAGAATTGAGTTTTCCAAAGAAATACGGGAGCAAGGGGCTAGAGTTGTAGGTATTCTGTGTTAGCATTCAAAGGCAGATCTCTCTACAAATCAAAATACCACTGATGACAACCTCTTGAAATTGAACTAAGCAATAGCCCACAACCTCACACCTGCCTGGAGGAACAACTGGGGAGAAAAGCCCAACCAGTCTTTTGCCATTCAGTCAGCCCCTCTACCTACTTTGGGCTTAAATTTCTATAAACACTATTAGTTCTGCCCTTTCAAATGGAAGGGTTATTCACTTTGGCTGAGAAAATTAGGAGTGGGCTGTTGCTAAATACAGGGCCCTTCCCTGTTTTGAAACTTAGCCATCATTATTCTGTGACTTACAATATGTATTTTTAAATTTATAATACTATTTTACAGATACCTCACAAATTTATGAGGTTGAGAGGGCAGATATTATAATATATTCCATGGATGAGAAAACAGGCTCTAGAGATGGAGTGACTTGTTCAGGGAAACCTGGTCACACAGCTAAGTCTCTTCATTTACAGCCTGTGTGTCCTTTGACATGGTTTTTTCCCCTCTCTTTATTTTACATGCCCTAGTTCCAGGCCTTTACCATTCTGATGTTTGACCATGGCTCACAAATCTCTTGCTAATATCTATTCACTCTAGATAAAAAGTCTGCCTGTCTTTTATTTTTATACATGCTATTTTAAAGAAAGAGTTGATTAGAACTCCTTATGCATGCACATTCATTTATTGGATGCTTTTCCTTTTTTAAAACTGAAGTCAGTTGTGATCATGCTTTAGTTTTATCTATTTTTAGATTTTAATTTTTGGGAATCTTTCCTCAGGTCTAAAGAACATGAAAAATAATGCATATACATGTAATTATATGCAACATTCCCTTCATTATAAATCTTGGCTATTTTAAAAAATGGTTTGAATACAGAATATTTGCATCAATTTTTCCCTTTAGTTTGAAATACCAGAGTAGCTGTTCTTATTGCTTCTTTTAAAAACTACGATTGAAGTGTGCAAACAGTATCAAATGTTTTACTTTGGGCAAAACTAGACTTGACTTTACCAGAATACTGGATTTCCAGGCCAGGCGTGGTGGCTCATGCCTGTAATCCCAGCACTTGAGAGGCCGAGGCAGGTGGATCAGTTGAGGTCAGGAGTTGGAGACCAGCCTGGCCAATGTGGTAAAACCCCGTCTTTACTAAAAATACAAAAATTAGCTAGGTATAGTGGTGGGAACCTATAATCCCAGGTACTAGGGAGGCTGAGGCAGGAGAATCACTTGAACCCGGGAGGCGGAGGTTGCAGTGAGCCAGGATCACACCCCTGCACTCCAGCCTGGGGAACAGAGTGAGACTCTATCTCAAAAGAAAAAAAAAAACAAAAAACAAAAAAACACTGGAAACCCAGTACATTCCACTATTCAACCACCATATCTTGCTTCTAGTCTAATACTGTATGTAAGATACTGTATGTGTACCTGACTTAAATGTTTGACCACGTTTTAACAAATTTGCTACATCTGCAGTGTCTATTCTCCCCATTTGTATTCACTCAAAGCCAAAGTAACAGTGGTGGGGAAGAAGCAAGCACTTTGGAGTCAAGTCAGACCTGGGTTTGAATCCTGACTCAGCTATTTACTAGCTATCACCTGTCTGTAGTTTTAAGATCAATGTAAAGCTCTTAGAACCAAAGGAACTCAAATGTTAATTTCATCATATGTATACACCATAATACTTTATTTAAATAAATGACCTAGTCAGGTATTAATACCACCACGTGCTACGATATCTACTGAAATGTGGCATGAAGGAAACAAAAACTCATGCCACTCCTCCTTTCTCTTCTAATTTGCAGTTTAACTTCTAAGACTCTTAATGACAAAAATAGTATATGGGAATATAGAAAAATAAAAACCAGAAACAAAATAATATATAGGATTTAACAGGAAAAGCAGAAGGAAAAGGTACATATGGATGGAATAAGAGATCTATGCATGGGGCCAGGTGCAGTGGCTCATGCCTGTAATCCCAGCACTATGGGTGGCTGAGGTGGGCAGGTCACAAGCAAGAGATAGAGACCATCTTGGCCAAGATGGCGAAACCCTGTCTCTACTAAAAATACAAAAATTAGCTGGGCATGGTGCGTGCACCTGTAGTCCCAGCTACTTGGGAGGCAGGAGAAACACTTGAGTCCAGGAGGCAGAGGTTACAGTAAGACCAGATCACGCCACTGCACTCCAGCCTGGTAACAGAGCAAGACTCCATCTAAAAAAAAAAAAAAAAAAAAAAAATCTATGCATGGAACATGCAACTTAGGGTGGGGCACAGTGGCTCAAGCCTCTAATCCCAACACTTTTGGAGGTGAAGGTAGGAGGATCGTTTGAGCCCAGGAATTTGAGACCAGCCTGGGCAACATGGCAAAACCCCATCTCTACAAAAAATAAAAAATTTTAGCTGAGCATGGTGTCATGTGCCTGTGTCCAAGTTGCTCGGGAGGCTGAGGTGGGAGGATCATTGGAGTCCATGAGGTAGAGACTACAGTGAGCCATGATCATACCATTGCACTGCAGCCTGGGCGACAGCAACACCCTGTATCAAAAAAGAAAAAAAAAAAATCTGGCTGGGCACGGTGGCTCACACCTGTAATCCAAGCACTTTGGAGGCCAAGGCAGGCGGATCACTTGAGGTCGGGAGTTCAAGACCAGCCTGACCAACGTGGTGAAACCTTGTCTTAAAAAAAAAAAAAATCTGATAAGATTTATATACTACAAAAAAAATTCTTACGTAGAAGGCTCACATATGACTTAAAAAAAATTTCTTTTCGGTTCCTGGTAACACAGAACACAATTACTTTAGGCAAATGCTAAAGCATCAATGAAGTAAGGATTCAATCTCCTGTAGTGGTAACTAGAAAGGATAACTGAGTTTCATTGTGGATTTTTTCCAGTCCTCTTAACTCATAGTCACATATCAATCGGATGTTGTTTCCAAAACCCTTTTTGTCCAGTGGCATGCCCACGCACCCATATGCCCACCCTCAACTCATACCCTGTTAATTTTGTTGGCAGACAACACTTGAAATTCAAACATTATTTTGGCTTTCATTCCCATCCAGATTAAGGCTGCCATGGGTTCTGGCTGAGGTATTTTGGGGTAGGTAAACAAAATAAAATACCTGTACTAATCAGTATTGTTCTCAACAACATATGACTAGCAATAATTAGTCATGCTAAAATCTGAACCAATTCTACATGTTTGGTAGATTTCTCTTGGTTGTCATTCTTTCCAGTGGCCCCAAAATTGTGTGCATACAATGTTACTTCTGAAAACATTTGTTTTAAAAGCGGTTCTAGTACAGAATGAGTGATCCCTTTCAGTGGACGTTGGTGCAGCTACCACACAGGGACAGCACAGGTGCCGTCAACTTGCAGTTACAGGTCTTTGCCCACTTTTACAGTGAAGGTTCTGTGCGTGAACGGATAATGTAGGTCATTATGATAAAACAGTATTAAAGGAGAAAATCTACTCCCAGATCCTTTTTGGACTACAAAGACAAGATATTAAAAGCACTAGCTTGAAAAGACCATTTATTAATCTGATATAGTTACAACTCATGGATTAAAATATCTATTACCAATAAGTTATTTTGTTTGCAGGGTTTCACTCTTGTTGCCTAGGCTGGAGTGCAATGGTGCCGTCTCAGCTCACTGCAACCTTCACCTCCCAGGTTCAAGTGATTCTTCTGCCTCAGCCTCCCAAGTAGCTGGGATTATAGGCATCTGCCACCATGCCCAGCTAATTTTTGTATTTTTAGTAGAGACGGGGTTTCACCAACTTGGCCAGGCTGGTTTCGAATTCCTGACCACAGGTGATCTGCTGTGTTGGCCTCCCAAAGTGCTGGGATTACAGGTGTGAGCCACCGCACCCGGCCCAGGTTCTAACTTTTTACATTCTTTGTTCTAGATAATTTGAATCACAGTTTCTGGCTATCTTAGGAAATTTCAATGATAGCCTATTAACAGGCTTTCTAGAAAGTTCTTTATCTCTGAAAAGAAGGTCCTACTGACTCTCAATCTCTTTCTTGACCTCGTGATCTACCCACCTTGGCTTCCCAAAGTGCTGGGATTACAGGCGTGAGCCAAAGCGCCCAGTGGTCTTACTGACTCTCTTGGCCACTGCCACATACAGCTTCTAAATAACCTATTGTGAACAGCACATTCATTCCAATACAAATAATGACATCTAGTGACCAATATGAAATATATACCAATATCATCCCAGTGGCAAAGTTTAAATATATAACAGCAATTCAATAATGAACACTAGTTGATTAAATAATTGAAAACCAATTGGAATCTCTTCAAGAAACACACTAAGGAGTAACATAGAGGCAGGACAAGGATTATTTAAGAAGAATGCATCAAAGAAATCTGACAAATAACAAAAGCCCTTCCAGGCTAAATAGTTCCTTTGTACTAATTTTGTTAGTCTAAATGAAAATAGTTTAAAGCTTTTTAAGAAAATTATCATAAATTACTTCCTGCATAACTTCTCTTGCATGGTTCTAAAATGTTGATAATGCTATAATTTATTTACTTAATTTTATATGAAGATATAAAAAATAAATATCATGCATATTTTGTTGACATTTTAAAAACCCACAAATAACTTAAAATGCTATTTAGAAAAACTGGCCTACATACTTGTTACTTATGGAAGATTCAAGCAAGTCTGAGTTTTTATGGCATCCTCAAACTGAAAAGGCTTCAAAATAATCAAATTTATTATTATTTTAGAAATAGAGATGGGGTCTCGTGCCATGTTGTCCAGAATAGTCTCAAAATCCTGGGTTCAAATGATTCTCCCAACTTGGCCTCCCAATGTGCTGGTATTACAGGAATAAGCAGCCACTGCACCCGACCAAAATCAGCCAATTAATGCCCTTATGTGATCAAAATATAATACTAAGGAAAATAATACAATCCAAAATTGGAGTGGAAACACCTTTTTCGCTATAGGTTTTAATTGAAAAGATCTGTGAACTAAAGGGAGTCTTTTCCAAGGGCATGCTGGAAACATAGAAAATGAAATGACAGAAACTTCCCATGTTTCTATCCTTCCTCGGGCATTGTCTTATCCTATTTGTTTCCTGAAACATCCCCTGTTAAGACTCTTGTGATTAGAAAGACAAAAATAAGTATTCATAAAAGTCCATCAGGTTCCTCAGTAAAGCTGAAGTCACACACTAGGGACAGGTGGTCTGAAGGATAATTGAAGGAAGGTAGCCGGTTGGGTCCGATCTGTTCTTCAGTGAGCAGATCGAGAGCTGACCTTACATTGAGAGCGTGTTTAGAATACCAGATGTAATCCAGGGTGTGCCTGCACTCCCCTGAGGTCCGGATCTTCCAGGTAGTATATGGGGGTTCTGACTGCCCGTCAGCACTCAGCAGCTTGTAGGCGCTGTTCAGGTTGAGGCTGGAGGATGCAAAGTGTTTGTAGACCTCTTCTGTTGGCTCTGCGTTGAAGTCCCCACACACAATAAGGGGAATCTTGGCTCCTTGGGTGATGTTTTGCAGGTTCTGAAGGAGGTCACAGCCTTGAGCTGATCGAAACTGCTCCCAGCCAGTGCGTGCTTTTAGATGGGTGACAGCGATGCAGAACTGTCGGCCTGACTCTTTGCACTCCAGGGTCTGTGCAATGGCCACCTGGTTGGTTTTCAATGTCATGGCTGTCAGCCTAATATTGGCACTGTTGATTAGTTTGAATCGGTTTTGGAGAAAAAATAAGGCACAGCCATCTGGTCCATTGTTATGTTCCACATCTAGACAAGGTGACCAGGGTTTGGGGAAAAACGTGCCTTGATAGCCTAGTCTACTGAGGAGTGGTTGGAAGGTGTCAAAATAGTGGTCCACCTCTTGGAGGCACAATATATCAGGCTGGTAGGCCAGGATTTCTTCCAGGATGAGACATTTCCTTTCTTCCCACTTGAGTGCTTCAACAGGGCATTGTACAAAGTTGTCTTTGCCTTCTCCAAGAGCTGAAAAGAAAAAGCTAGTCAGTTGTCAGCTCTTACAGAACCGTAACTTCAAAGTACCAGGAGTTTTGGCATCACTCAAGACCATCAGAATGCTTCTTCTGCTTTAGATGCTTTGAGTGATTCTCTGTCCAACTGTATTACCCCATCCAAACTAAATCACCTCTCACTATACGGATGAAGCAAACAGGTCTTTTGTTTCAAAATGATTTCATGTAACCATATTCCAGGATATTAATATCTTACAGGCCAGGTGCGGTGGTTCATGCCTGTAATCCCAGCACTTTGGCAGGCTGAGGTGGGCAGATCATGAGGTCAGGAGTTCAAGACCAGCCTAGCCAATATGATGAAACCTCGTCTCTACTAAAAATACAAAATTAACCAGGCATGGTGTGGCATGTGCCTGTAGTCCTAGCTACTCAGGAGGCTGAGGCAGGAGAATTGCTTGAACTCGGGAGGCGGAGGTTGCAGTGAGCTGAGATCATGCCACTGCACTCCAGCTTGGGTGACAGTGAGACTCTATCTCAAAAAAAATATCTTACTTAAGGAAACTGCTTTGCAGTCCCAGTGATCTAAGCTATGTCAAATGAAATAAATGTAAATTTGTTGTTAATTAAAAAAAAATTTTAGTTTGTTTTTTCAAACACCAAGTATTTAACACCAAGTATTAGTTTTAAAAGCCATGTGAACTGATATAAACAGATACTACTCAGAAGGAATGGGACTTTTTTTTTTTTTTTTCAGACAGCCTTGCTCCGTTACCCAGGCTGGAGTGCAACAGCACGATAGCGGCTCACCGCAACCTTTGCCTCCTGCATTCAAGTGATTCTCCCACCTCAGCCTCCTGAGTAGCTGGGAATACAGGCACCCACCATCATGCCTGACTAATTTTTTTTTTTGTATTTTTATAGAGACGGGGTTTTACCATGTTGGCAAGGCTGGTCAAACTCCTGACCTTAGGTGATCTGGCTCCGCTAAGCCTCCCAAAGTGCTGGGATTACAGGCGTGTGCCCAGCTGAATAGGACTTATTTTAAATGGGCAGCTTTTCCTACTTATGGAAAAAAGAATCAAAGATTGGATAAGTCAGGGAATATCCCTTATTTTCCAAGAAAAAAAAAATCAGGGCCTGGTTTTTCTTCAGATCTCAAGTGCAATATAAAAGGCAATGCTACATAAAGTTGATTGACACATCTGTTTTTTAATTTAGCAAACCCAGGAAAGAAGTCCTTTCTACCATAACAAAGTTTTTTTTTTTTTTTTTGGGACAGGCTCACTCTGTTGCCCAGGCTGGAGTGCAGTGGCTCAGTCTCAGCTCACTACCACCTCTGTCTCCCAGGTTCAAGCAATTCTCTTGCCTCAGCCTCCCAAGTAGCTGGTTCTACGGGCGCATACTACCAAACCCAGCTAATTTTTTGGTATTTTTAGTAGAGATGGGGTTTTACCATGTTGGTCAGGATGGTCTCAAACTCCTGACCTTAGGTGATCCACCTGCCTCGGCCTCCCAATGTGCTGAGATTACAGGATTGAGCCACTGCACCTGGCCACAAAGTAATATCTTTTTTTTTTTTTTTTTTAGTTTTCAAAACGTCTTTAATAGGCTGGGTGTGCTGGCTAATGTCTGTAATCCCACAAAGTAATATCTTAATCAACAGAGAACTGAATACTATCTCATACTTTGTTTCAATTAAAAAAAAAAAAAAAAAACAGAATTGAAGCAACATCATTTTGGTCTCAAGTTATATCAACGAGTATAGATAATATGACCACAAAAATACCTAGACTCACCACCACCCACACAGAACTGCCATTCCCTGCAGAAAGTTCTGTGACACCCATTCAGTGTCTTCCCTGCAAATGCTATCGTAGTGCTACAGACTGAAAGCTGGCGCAACACAAAGGTTGAGGCTGTTCCATTTAACTGCTTAATAAAATGTAGAGCCCTTCAAATTCAGATCTGCTGGGAAGTAGACAGACTTTCATTGTTCTAGGATAGTCCACAAACATGGAAGGTGTAAAGAATAAATGTCGAGTTACTTGTTTTAATAGAGAAAATCAGGCTGGGTGTGGTGGCTCATGCCTGTAATCCTAGCACTTTGGGAGGCCGAGGTGGGTGGATCACCTGAGGTCAGGAGTTTGTGACCAGGCTGGCCTACATGGTGAAACCCTGCCTTTACTAACAATACAAAATTACTGGCCATGGCGGTGGGTGCCTGTAATCCCAGCTACTCGAGAAGCTGAGGCAGGAGAATCGCTTGAACCCCGGAGGCAGAGGTTGCGGTGAGCTGAGATCACCCCCATTGCACTGCAGCCTGGACAACATGTGAAACTCCATCTCAAAAAATAAATAAAAATTTAAAAAAGGGAAAACCAGATGACTTCCTTTCTTAACCTCTTCTAGGAGCTCTCCATGCTGCTGAAATCGCCCTATCCTTCTACACCTCCATCTGCCCACACCTCTTCCATCAACATAAAACATCAGTGCACTGAGCATATGCAGAAGCAGAAAGGCAGTCACAGCAAACTTGACTGCACAGGCACAAAAGCATCAGGCATACCTTGGGCGAGGATGTTCCACTGCATGACCCTGATAGGTGGGTGGGTACTGGAGCAATCTGTCCTCAGATCCACAAAATCTCTCTGGTACCGGGGAGGTCGGGTGTGCAGGACAGCCCTGCATTCCTCAAGAAGCTCTTTAGGATCAATGGGCTCCAGATGTTCTGGGTCAGGTGACACCAAATACTCTGGGTGCTGGGAGGCAGCGCTGCTGTTCAGTGTCTTGGCAAGAGCACTATAGAGTCTGCTTGTACCGGTTCCCATGGAACACACTATGGAAAAGGAAATCACAGTTACACATTCAGCTCCTTTTCCTGACTTCTCGCCTAGCACAACTGTAAGATAAACTTTACTGTCCATGAAAACAGTAAGATAAACTTTACTGTCCACAGAAACCAGGAGCTCAATTGTTGCCATAGTCATGTATAAAGCCATTTCTACAGAGGCAGAATTAAGGCGTTTCCAGGTTCCAGCTTTCTACTAGGACAGTTAATTTAAACACTACCTTTAAAACTAGTCGCTTATTAACAGTGAAAACTCATTTCTTTTAGGGGAAGAAATATCTTTGATCTTGAGGGCCTCTTGTAACCTAGGATGTCTTTATAATTTATAAACCCAGTCTTAAAAGAGCATGGCTTAACAAAATCTACATTCCTTTTTCTATGTATCGTAACAAAAACTCAAAGACTAGGCTGGGTGTGGTGGCTCACGCCTGTAATCCCAGCACTTTGGGAGGCCGAGGCAGGTGGATCACTTGAGGTCAGGAGTTTGAGACCAGCCTGGCCAACATGGCGAAACCCCATCTCTATAAAAAATATACAAAATTAGCCAGTGTGGTAGTGTGTGCCTGTAATCCCAGCTACTTGGGAGGCTGAGGCAGGAGAATCACTTCAACCCGAGAGGTGAAGGTTGCAGTGAGCCGAGATTCAGGCTGGGCGACAGAGCAAGGCTGTCTAAAAAAGCTACAAGACATGAAAGAATAACCTAAATTAGAATTAGAAAACTCAGAAATGAGGCATCAAAAAGAATTAGCAGGCCAGGTGAGGTGGCTCATGCCTGTAACCCCAGCAGTTTGGGAAGTCAAGGTGGGCGGATCATGAGGTCAGGAGTTCGAGACAAGTCTGACCAACATGGTGAAACCCCGTCTCTACTAAAAATACAAAAAGTAGCCGGGCGCAGTGGCTCAAGCCTGTAATCCCAGCACTTTGGGAGGCCGAGGCGGGTGGATCACAAGGTCGAGAGATCGAGACCAACCTGGTCAACATGGTGAAACCCCGTCTCTACTAAAAATACAAAAAAAAAAATTAGCTGGGCATGGTGGCGCGTGCCTGTAATCCCAGCTACTCAGGAGGCTGAGGCAGGAGAATTGCCTGAACCCAGGAGGCGGAGGTTGCGGTGAGCCGAGATCGCGCCATTGCACTCCAGCCTGGGTAACAAGAGTGAAACTCCGTCTCAAAAAAAAAAAAAAAAAAAACTATTTGGCCGGGCACGGTGGCTCAAGCATGTAATCCCAGCACTTTGGGAGGCCGAGGTGGGTGGATCACAAGGTCAAGAGATCGAGACCATCCCAGTCAACATGGTGAAACCCCATCTCTACTAAAAATACAAAAAATTAGCTGGGCATGGTGGCACGTGCCTGTAGTCCCAGCTACTCAGGAGGCTGAGACAGGAGAATTGCCTGAACCCAGGAGGCGGAGGTTGCGGTGAGCCGAGATCGCGCCATTGCACTCCAGCCTGGGTAACAAGAGCAGAACTCCGTCTCAAAAAAAAAAAATAAATAAAAATAAAATACAAAAAGTAGCTGGGCATGGTGGTGCATGCCTGTAATCCCAGCTACTCAGGAGGCCGAGGCAGGAGAATGATTTAAAACTTGGAGGCAGAAGTTGTACTCACAACTTCCAAGATCGCTCCACTGCACTTCAGCCTGGGCGACAAAGGAAGACTCTGTCTCAAAAAAAAAGAAAAGAAAAGAAAAGAAAAGAATTAGCAATAAAAATTAAAAAGAGGGCCGGCTTTAGCTCAGGGTTACTTCGACAATGCTTTCTATGGTAGAAAACCACACTCTGTGTGGTTCGAGACCCGCAGGCGCTCTCCGGCTTTTAAAAAAAAAAAAAAAAAAAAAAAAGAATGAGAAAAAGATCAGAGTCAAACCTAAGGATTGCATTTTTTTTTTTTTTAAATAAAAGGGAGAAAGTAGCAAATATTAAAAATGAGCAAAGGCCCAAAATATGAGTAATAGGAGTTCTTATAGATGAAGACCAATGAAAGGGGATAAAATAAGAAAACTTTTAAAAACAAAATACTTAAAAAGTAGATATTGAAAAAAACACTTTGTAAACTCGAGAGTATCAACCCAGAATGACCAACGCCAAGTGGACTATTAAAAAAAATCAGATTATCATCAGACTTCAACTGCAATGTTTTATGTGACAAGAAAATGAAGTAATATATTTAAAATACATAAAGCGTAAGCCAAGGATTTCATAGCCAGCAAAACTGGACTATTAACTCCATGAGCCCCTTTTGAGGAATCTCCTGCAGCAGGGGTTGGCAACCTGCTACCAAGTAAGTGGTACTTTTGTCCAGTTCTTAAGCTAAGAATGGCTTTTTTTTTTTTTTTAAGTAAAGATGAGCCTCACTATATTGCCCAAGCTGATATCAAGCTCCTGAGCTCAAGAGATCCTCCCATCTCAGTCCCGCAAAAAAAGTGCTGGGATTACAGGCATGAGCCACCACACCCAGCAAGCTAAGAATGGCTTTTACATTTAAAAAATGTGCTAAGTACAAACACACACTCACAAATACATGACAGGACCATTTTTGGCCCACAGAGCCTAAATATTTACTATGCAGCCTTCTTCAAAAGAAATGTGCCATACCTAGAACTAGAGAACAAGCTTCAGACCAAAATGACCAGAGACACTGGTGTAAGAACTGGTGCTGAGCACTCAACATAGAGCTACTTAGCAAATCAATTCTAAAGGAGACTTTCAGGGAGAATTCAGTATGTAATGGCTATATGGTCCAACAATGAAAATGAAGATTTAATACACCAAAAAAGGAGGAGGCAGGATGAGAAAAACATCTTCAACTTAAAAATTTTAAACTTTTTTCAATGATCATAATTAGTAGTGGTACTGGCACTGCAATTCTGAGACTGCTATCTATCTGTGAGATGAATCGAATGGGATATTCTACATTTCTCTGTTGTCTTCTAGGGGGATCTAGTTTTTGAAATGCATTTATCAGGCTATTAGCTACAATTCTCAAGGAAAACATTCTTGTTAAAAAGCCAGCTCATTTTGGACTAACAGTAGATTATCAAATCTGGTCATCTGCCTTATTTGGCCTCAGAGCCTCTTGGTGGTTTTCGACAATTAAATTTACTTCAGAAGACAAAGCTTTTGAGATGCAGGATATACTGCACAATGGCCAAATTCTAAGGTCTCAAAAGAGCAATTCTAGTCCCAGTTCTATGACTATTTACCTGTGCCACTAGACCTGCTTACCTAACTTTTTCTGTGACTATTTACCTGTGTCTCTAGACCTGCTTACCTAACTTTTAAAAATTTAATTCTTTTATTTTTTGCTGAGACAGAGTCTCACTCTGTTGCCCAGCCCGGAGTGAAGTGGCTCCATCTTGGCTCACTGCAACCTCCACCTCCTGGGCTCAAGCAATTCTCCTGCCTCAGCCTCTCGAGTAGTTGGGATTACAGGCATGCTCCACCTGTAATAATTTTTGTATTTTTGTTGTTGTTTTGTTTTTTGAGACTGAGTCTCGATCTGTTGCCCAGGCTGGTATTGAAATCCTGACCTCATGATCCACCCGCCTTAGCCTCCCAAAGTACTGGGATTACTGGTGTGAGCCACTGCGCCCTGGCCTAATTTTTGCATTTTTAGTAGAGATAGGATTTCACCATGTTGGCTAGGCTGGCCTCAAAACTCCTGACCTCAAGTGATCTGCTCACCTTGGCCTCTGAAAGTGCTGGGATTATAGGTGTGAGCCACTGTACCCAGCTTTTTTTTTTTTTTCAAAGGGCCTGTTTTTTCAGTAAGGGCCTTACTCTGTTACCCAGGCTGGAGTGCAATGGTATGATCATAACCCACTGCAGCCTCAACTCCTGGACTCAGGCCATTCTCCCATCTCAGCCTTCCGAGTATCTGAGACTACAGGTGCGCAGCACCATACCCAGCCAAAATCTGCTTACTTCTCTTTAAAATGAGGGCTTAAGTGATGCTAATTTCTCCAAGATCAGGTGGAAAAGGCATTTAGGTTAGACGGGGGAAACTTTTCAAATCTATATTCCTTCCTATGCTCTTCATATAACAGCTCTACTGTTTTAATAAAACTTGGGCCAGGTGCAGTGGTTCACACCTGTAATCCTAGTACTTTCGGAGGCTGAAGCAGGAGGATCCCTGGAGTCCAGGAGTTCAAGACCAGCCTGGGCAACATAGTGAGACTCTGTTTCTACAAAAATAAATAGTAATTATTAAAAAAAAAAAAAAAAAAAAAAAAAAAGGCCAGGGGCAGTGGCTCAAGCCTGTAATCCCAGCACTTCGGGAGGCCAAGGCAAGTGGATCATGAGGTCAAGAGATCGAGACCATCCTGGTCAACATGGTGAAACCCCGTCTCTACTAAAAATACAAAAAATTAGCTGGGCATGGTGGCGCGTGCCTGTAATCCCAGCTACTCAGGAGGCTGAGGCAGGAGAATTGCCTGAACCTGGGAGGCGGAGGCTGCGGTGAGCCGAGATCGCGCCATTGCACTCCAGCCTGGGTAACAAGAGCGAAACTCCGTTTCAAAAAAAAAAAAAAAAACTCTTGGATGTTTAATTCAGAATTTCTGTTCTCATATTTGAAAAACAATGGGCTTTCCTTTCGCCGTCTGACCGCCGCCATCATAGGTCGTATGCATGCTCCCGGGAAGGGCCTGTCCCAGTCGGCTTTGCCCTATCGCCGCAGCGTCCCCACATGGCTGAAGTTGACATCTGACGACGTGAAGGAGCAGATTTACAAACTGGCCAAGAAAGGCCTGACTCCTTCACAAATCGGTGTGATCCTGAGAGATTCACATGGTGTTGCACAAGTACGTTTTGTGACAGGCAATAAAATCTTAAGAATTCTTAAGTCTAAGGGACTTGCTCCTGATCTCCCTGAAGATCTTTACCATTTAATTAAGAAAGCAGTCGCTGTTCGAAAGCATCTTGAGAGGAACAGAAAGGATAAGGATGCTAAATTCCGTCTGATTCTGATAGAGAGCCGGATTCATCGT